CTATAAATTCTAATGTAATTAGCTCTGGGAGCTCTGTGCCAACCCACATCTGTCTGTCTGTTCCAGCTGCAAATGACTTTTTCTGTGAGATACAGAATGGCTGGTCTAGACCAAATGTGTGTTACTCTTTTCCAGGAACTATGTAGTTCTTCTTCATGATTAAACCTAACCGTATGCTGTATACAGTTCTTGAAAAACCCACAGACTAGGCAACTTACGTTCTATGCCACTTGGATAATTTGCTTTATTTCAGCTGTTCTCCAAGGTCTAAAAATATCTCCTCTGCAACAGCACTTTTTCACCATTAGCTAATAGGTGTGCAGTTTTGTTTATTTAGAAGTGGTCAATATGCACAAGGAGTATGAACCTACATAAGTAAGTTCACGGAACCTCACTAGGGGTATTCAAACAAACACAGCAGCAAAAGAGTATCTCCCGCTTAGGATTTTTTTTTAGTTTTTGGCTCAACATATTGGAAAGACTTCTGTTTTTAGGGGCAGCTTCCATATAGATGTCACACACAATGACCCTAGAGCTTCCAACATCTCTGCTAGTGAAAGTGAAGGTCTGGAATATATCAAGCACTTTGGTAACTCTTACAATCTAATAAGGATTTCTATCTTGCAAAGGCCAATCCAGCCAAGCCACCATACTTGTTAGAGAGTATTTTGTTACTGACCTTTCACAGTAGGAAAGATCTCTGTCAAATAGTAAGTGGAGATGACAAAATGTTGGCTGATGAACTTCTCTCACCAGCCCAGAAAAAGATCAGTACTCTACCAAACTCTCTTTCAAGCGTTTTGCTGTCGGAAAGGAATTACTAAAAAAAAAATGATATGTACATGAAACATAGCACTTTCTTGTCTTGGGGATCTCTCAACATTTTTGATTTCAGACTGTGGCTGGGAGAAGCCGATCCTGCATCTACTTGCCCGTGGAAATTCAGGATAGTTGCTTTTTCAAGGACTCTTTTCTCATCTTCTTACAGCAATGGCTACGTGTATAGGCTTTTGCTCTGAATTGTCTCAAAGTCCAAATGTTCTTTTCAAATCTCTTTGCTTCAGCAACCATGACAAGAACTTAACTCCCTCCTGAAACTCCTTCTAAATAGAAAGGGAACTCTACCACTTACCAACTCTAGCTGCTTAGTTTTGTTCTTCCTGGATATAAGATGGGCAAAGCATTCTGCAACAAAAGAAGAGTTTTTGTACACTTTCTGATCCTCTTCATGAGTTGGAGACAAACTGGGCTTAACAAATTGAGCCTACACCTATCCTTCTCATCAGGTAGGTTGCAGCTTCTTTAACAACCATACAATTCCTGCTCCCTTGGAATCTTCCTCCTACATCACAACATCTTTTCCTCAAATGTGCCAGCAACATATTGCCATGGTTTGCTCCAGTCCTTAAAACGGCTGTCATCCATCTTCAGTCTTGAAGACTTTATTCATAAGTGCACATAAGTGGAGAAGAGAGTAAGGAAAGGGTAGGATGATTGCTTTTTAGAAGAGTTTTTATTTTTCAGGAGAGGTTTCTTTTCACATTTAGAAATTTCATGAGAAGGTTCTATGACGAAAAAATACAGCAGAAGAAGAGAAAACAGCCAGGAGGTAGCATCCACTATTCAACACTTCTGATAGAAACTAAGAAAACCTTACTAGTAAGTAAAAAACTTTACTAGTAAAATTCCTATTGATTTTGACAGGAAAGATTGGGAATTTTGAAAATACAGTATCTTCAGGCTCCATCTTCCCTGTGACCACTCTTTAGGTACTGGAAGATTGCTATTAGCTAGATCTCCCATGCCTTAGCCTTTCCTTCTTCAGGCTAAACAAACCCTGTTCTCTTAGTGTCTCCTCATCTGTCACGTGCTCCAGTTCCACAAACATCTCAGTGGCCCTACACTGAGCTCTCCATTTTGTCAATATCTGGACTTCATTCACAGATCGTCTCGAAACACAGTCATATTATCAGGATGACGAAAGTAATGCAGGATGCATGCGTATCTACAGAGATACATAAATGTCTGAATTTATAATCAAAAGCATCTATTAGTGATCTTTTCTTACCAAGAAAGGTCATGACTGCTTTGAAACATACTGTGTACTCCATATGTACAGTAATTAGTCGGAATAGGACATCACTTTAATTATTTCCCAAAGGATTCCATCCTCTGATCTACTGCTAATCTTCAAATATAAGTGAGCTTTACCCTTTCTAGTAATTAATGGTCAGTCATTTTTACATTTAACAACTACTATTGCTGTACTTTGCCATCATAAAATTCCTGCTTTCGCATATAAACTAATAAAAAAGAAGTTAGGAGTTTTTGTTTTACCTTCTTTATCATCTGAATAGGAAGAAAATACATATTGCTTAATGGAAATTCTGGATCGGGGTAAATTATATACAAACTCGTCATTATTTGTAATTAATTAAATTATATCTTTTTTATAACTAACCCTCTTTCAAACAGCTCTCCATTTATTGTCCTAATGATTTATTATATTAATTCTCTCTGATTGGTAAAAAGGAAGTAACCACAGTTCCACTCTGGCATGTTTTATTCCAATTTTTGCTCCCTATAAATGTGTTACAATTCTTCTGTTGGCAGTCAGAGAAACTCTATAAAAGCAGCATTTACTTCAGTTTCTCTCAGAGCCAAGGAATACATATGCGCTTGACATTTTGGAATATCTGTTTTCAACCATTAATATATGGTAGTTATTAAAGCTATTGCACTTACTATTTTACACCACCTGAAATGTGCAGCATATACTAACTTATCTTAGTAACTCTCATGGGTTCACCACAAAGAAAAACAAAAGTATTGCACAAAAAATGCTGAATTGGACAGTACATCTTCACACAATTACTACAAATCTCAAAGATCTCAACCTGTTCAGTTATAACACTAAGAGAAATAAAACTATTTCTTTCAACTTTTGGAGGCCCTTCTTAATTATAAATCATACTGCAAATAAATTACCTTGGATTTTAAAAATAGGCAATACTTGTTCTTTCAGGGGGGATGTGGGTCCATTTTTCTTTCGTATATCACCGGTTCCTTTAAATAGTAATAGTTAGACAATAAAAACTCCTTTTTTTGCGTTCTGATTTCCTGCTGTAAAAAGGGGCTCCTCTTCTAATCGTAACAGCTGTTGGAGCAAAGTTAAGACAAAAAGGAAACTAAGACTCTGGCTAAAAGACAAAAGCAACCTCCACCAACGTTTGTGCCTTACAGGAGTCAGGATCAAGCCTTCCTGGCACTTCCCACAGACATTCCTAACAAGGGAAAATAGTTACAAAAATACAACGTGGAAGAAAAGTAACATAGGACAATGCCTTTCTTATGAACTAGAAATTAAAATTACTTCTAGAAATACTAAATATTCAGTAATAAACATATACAGATAATCTTGCATACACACAAGTTATCAGGTTAAATTCTGCCTAGATTTCTGACCAAAGACAGATATTTTTAGACTACACACTAAAAAGCGGTAGGAAACAAAATAATGGAAACTTACTTTTACCCAGCTAAAGCGAAAAGAGCAATTGTGTGATCAAAGGACAAGTTTGTGTATATATATCTATCTAAAGATGATGTAATTTAGCAGTCAGAAAAAATGCATCTGAAAAAAAATACCCCTTTTTAATAATTTACAGGAGTCACCTTACTTTTTCTTGTAGAGGGACCTCCATAAAGTATCTAACAATCTAGTTTTATCTCCAGCCAAGACTCTTCTGTAACAATTAATGAAACTACCCTCAGGCCAGTGGGGCTCCAGACAATACCGTTATGACACATCCCTGAACTGCCTACTGCGGGCTAAACTGCCCCTCCTATTAGGCCCACATTATTTACATTAGGTTTAATCCAGATTCTAATGCAGAAGTTTCCACATTCTGTTTTGAACAACCACGCCAGTACTTCACATTAGCAGATTTTTCAAAGTATTCATCAGAAACACAGGCTTCTGTATTTCAGTCATCTATGACAAGATCACTAAAACAAAACTCCAGTGATATGACCAAATTTTGCAAATAGTCCCAAAAAGGATTTCAGCAGTTCCTAACAGAAAGGTCTTACTATGACAAACAATTCATCTGAATGGGCAATGTGCTAGGTGACCCTGCTTGAGCAAGGAGACTGGACTAGATGATCACCCACGGTCCTTTCCAACCTCAACCATTCTGTGATTCTGTGATTCTATGAATAGTCTCAATTATTTTTATCCCAAATAATTTACATATTTTTCCTCAAATCCTAGTAATTAACGATGCCAGCAAGCTTGCTTCATTTAAAAGAAGTCTTCTCCCTACCTAGTAAGTTTCTCCAGTTCTCCAGGATCTAACAAACGTAACTCGAAATTTCCCTTTCTCCTTCACATTTTCCCCCTCCAATTTTCATGGCTAGAATAATCAGATGACCTATACTTCCTTCTTTTTTCACTCCTTATAGTTAAAATTTACCTTCCAGGGCTTTTCTTATACCTCTTCCAGTCTTTTGTTACAGTATGTGCCACCACTGACTTCATTTGAATCCTCAGCCAAGTGCATGAATACATTTCTTAGATCTGCTACCTTCACATTTGACAGGCCAAGCATGAGAAGTTGCTTGGAGTCCCTGAAGAGAATTACAGAACATTTACTTACAGCTGTTTATTTAGGCAAAATAAAGCATTTGGAACTTTTTCAAAACAGTACAGAAAAATCACCCCTTTTTTAATTTTTAATTCATTTAATTTTTTTTATTACAAAACCTGGCCGAGGAATTCTCACATAATAGGTTTTCTCCTCTTCAGTAATACCTTTATCTGATTAATCAAAATGTATTTTTTTCAGCTTAGCTTCAAATCTCTTTTTATTTAAAGTAAGAATGCCAGTTCCATAAATTTGAGTTATAATCAGGTTTTCCCAGTTCTTTGATCAAGCTACTCATTGTACTTGTACATGGAATATAAGAGTTTATGCTATTTGCTTAATGTGGATTTCTAACTATATGAGACAATCTCTTTTATCATTAAAGTCTCTGGATGAAAGGAAAAGAACTTGCAGGCAGTGATGAATAAGTCTTTTCACATCTCTTTCAATGCAATCAAGAAAATGCAGCTTTTCCTTGATATCTGTAAGACTGCTTTCGACAAGCTCATTAGATAAGTTTAAAATATCAGCCACACAACTAAGGAGAAGAGACAACAGTTCTCAGTTGTTCTCTTTGAAAGACATCTAGAGAAACTCAATGCTAGCTGTCACTTACTTTCTTCTCCATAAGAGGACTAGGACACTTCTTGAAATGGCCTTCCTTACAAAGCCGTTTCATTTTCACTGCCTAAAGGAGAGAACAGCTGGGGCTGGAAGGGTCCTCTGGAGATCATGCAGTCTAAACTCCCTGATCAAGCAGGGTCACCTACAGCAAGTTGTGCAGGACCATGTCCAGTCAGGCTTTGGATAGCTCCAAGAATGGAGATGAGACAACCTCTCTGGGCAACTTATTCCAGTGTTCAACCACCTTCACAGTAAAGTGTTTTCTTATGTGCAAATGGAATTTTCTGTATTTCATTCTGTGTCCATTGACTCTCCTCCTGTCACTGGGCACCGCTTAGGAGAGTTGAGCTCCATCCTCTTTACACCCTCCCACACTCATGACCTGCCCGTCATCCTCCTGTTCAGTTCTACTCTGCTTAGAAATACTTGCGGTATTTCTAAGTGGCTCTGTTCAGCTTTATATAGAAATCCAAAAAAGCAAAAAATAGTATTCTTTTTTTTCTCCATGTTGCTGTTATTACCAGAATGAAGAAAGGACTCAAGGATATGTTCTAGAATCTTTACAGTTTCCACATCATTTGTCACAATATTTTTCTCAAAGTTTTTCAAGAGACTCATATGATGACCCATGGTTAATGTTAGATTTGGTGGTCATGAGCTGATTGTTAGCGCCTTCAGCCTTCAAAATTGCTTCAGGCCTTATTTATTTGTGATCAGCCTCTTTAGAACACCCAGCAACTCTTGTCTTACCATTTTGACATCTACTCTGCTGCATGCCAGGTTGCTTTTTATGTGATTCTTCACCATCACTACTCGGTGAGACGGTGCTAGTCTGAATACAGCACCCATTGAAAATCCAATACCTAGAAACCATTTGTATTAGAGAAACAACATGATCTTCATGTGCATCAATCCTCTGGCTATCATGGGTATCAGTAGCTGTATATACCCTCATGCTGCTGTACTTCCATGGCTCCTCATCCAGAGGTAAGGAAAAAGAAAAGCCACATAACATAACCACTAAGCACACAAACTGAATGTGAAACAAAGAACGTGCAAAAAAAGTTTCCTTCAACTAGATACAGGTTAAGGAGAAAAAAGGTCTACCCAAAATAAGAAAAGATAAGCAATTATTTAAAAGATATGGCTATAAAAATCCCACATATTAGTACACTCAAACTGTTAAAAAGTGCATTCGCACTTCAAACTCAAAAGGACAATATAAGGATGTTTCATCTTGTCAGGAAGCTATTAAGTTACATAAAGGTTTACAGCATCATTTATAAAAAATGTAATATAGAATCTCCAGCCCTGGGAGAAGGAACAATACGAATTCAACCCTGCACTACACTTTTCCAATTCTGGAAGATCTTATAGCCTCAGAGTACTTGGCTTCATGCACATGGGCCCTGAGATTCAGGTAAATTATGACAACTAAAAGGCTACCCAGAATTTCCCATACAAGTTTTCTCCCAACACACTCCCCATATATATACCTTCTAAGCAACAGTTGGAGAAGGCATCCTGGAAGGACAGTATCTAGCTGTTTTCCCCCAAGAATCTCACCCCAAAGGACTTTTTTCCAGTAAATTCAGGCATCACACTACCCTAGTTCCGATTCACAGAATTTCCACATCACTTGTCATAATATTGTTTCATGGCTACAGAAAAATGATGTATTTTATTTTGTAAAAGATAAACTATTTTATGAAATCTTAGTGTGTCAAGAAGTTGAAAATTTCCAGAGCTGTAAAAAGCACAGCTTTTCAGAGTCCTTCTTCACTGTTTAAAAGCAACTTTTTACTTAGAATTTACAACAGAAGTTTCAGCACTATGTGTCATTTCTTGGACTTTTAAAGAAAGTTGGTCCTTTAAAAATCCCAGGTTTTAAATTTTCCAGCATGGTTACATAATTCGGGAAATGATGTCACCCTTCTAGTGTCAAAAAACAGTTTGGAAATCCTAAATCTCAGCACGCTTTCTCAGTCAGTGACACAAACAGCCTGCTGAAGTGAATAGAACCTTTGTCTTATTCATCAAAATTTGAGTTTTTCATTCTTTTTTAAGAACTCCACAAAAACTAGTTACTGACTATGTTCAGACGGCAATCTTCAAAAAATAGGTTTCAGAATAGAAGAATGGATTCAGATCTCTCTCTTGGGATTAATTACTGGCAAATTTCCTGTGTTTTAAAAAGCAACTTAATTTACGTAAAAAATAGCACCACTTAAAGTCTGATCCCTTATTTTGAAATAATTAGAGAAAATATTTATAATTTGGAAAGGCTTTCTCATTCACGTAAGGAAAAGGACTTTCAATCCAGCATTATGGTGTGGGTGAGCTGTTAAAGAGCAGAAGAGCAAACATACAAATCCTGAATGGTAAAATGGCACTGGAGTAGGTAACACCAATAGAAACACTTAGAGGCCAGTTCTTCCATAAGTGTCCTATCAGTCTGGGAACAGCTTTAGCTCACGACTACCACACCTCAGTACAGAAATCTAAGTGTAGCTATCTGCATATGAAACAGGTATCCAAAATCCTATTTTAGTCAATGGAGATCTAGTCAGACCAGTCAAAGGAAATTAGGGTCCAACCCAGCTGACTGTCCAGTAGATGTTTAGTTTAGAGGAAGCTGAATCACTCTCTAGTTTCTGTTTACTTTATTGAAAGCAACCCTTGCAGCACTGTAGAGAAGACAGAGAGGGGGGCAAGAAGTTAGTGCTCCCACCAAAGCAGTATCTGAGGCCATCTGCAGAAAGAAATAAGATATCTTCACTTTTCCCAGAAGTCTCTTCTTTCCTATTGGTATCAACTTGGGTCTAATTCAAATAGCTACAAGTAATATTCATGACACTGAATCTCACATTGTTAAGCAGCATAAGTGAATTCACACTAAAAAGCCTTAAGAGTAACAGCCCAGTGATAACCCCTCAAGTACATGGAAACAACCCGCTAATTTTTTTTAAGTGCCAGAGTCACACCTACAGCAATCCTTGTCCACCCACCACCAAAATAAAAATGCTAATTCTCAAAAGCTAGAGCATGTTACCTGGATTGTTGATGAAAGCCGCTACAACTTTTTAATCAATGAGCACAATGTCAAGAGGTCTACTCATGTTTGTAAGCTCTCAGCACATTTCAGTAAAGTTCTAACAACTACAGCTAAGTAAAGTTGTAAGTTCTCCATTTACAGAGTTAAACAATTTTGTAACTCCTGTTACGGTATTCATCAGTAAATATAGGCCATATTCTCTGGGATCATAGATCCTTTTCTCACAACGTTGCTCCAGTTTGGCTTTATACTATTAATCGCACAGTCTTTGCCTTTTTTATTCCTGTACACTCACCCTTTTGCTTTTCGGCAAAATACTTCCCCCTTATTTTTTGTCTTCCTGAACTACTTTCTGGCTTTGCATGAACAGCAAGTACAATACATTGGAAGCTGCTGAAGAGCATGTACCAAACCAGTTCAGACCTTAAAAGCTGCTGTTCTTTCCTGAAAAATAAAATGAGGAACAGTAGGTCATCTAACATCTGGCATCAAGATGATTGAGACTATTCTTTTAGCAAATACAGTCCAGATTCTGGAACCTTTTTGTCACTGCTCTCACCCTTCAACCCGCAAAGTCCAACACCGTTAACCCCCCCCCCAATTTTTCTAGTTAACAGATATTGCTTAGTTCCCTATGTCCGAAACTTTTTTTATATCCAGGGGTCAGAGGTACAACACCTGTTCATGACAACCTAGCTAAAGATCAGCTGTATTTTTACAGGATTGTTACAGCCTGTTCCTCCAAATGCTAAGTATGGGGAACAGAAAAGCACCGAAATCCTGTCACTGAGACCAGAGAAAGAACCTGTATCCCAAATGACAAGTTTTCCTTCCTCTCCCCTAAAACAAGCTTTCCTGGGCTTTTACCTGTCTCTGTATACACTCTGATGGTCTGATAAGTGCTTTACTTTGCTAAGCTATACCCCAAACATGAGAAAAACACCGCAGCTCTGGCCGTGGATGATCCCCAGGCCCTGAGCGGCGGTTTCACGCCTCGCCCTCCCCGTCACGGGGAGGGCCAGAGCCACCCCGGGGCCTGCCAGCCTTCTCCTTACAGAAGCAACAACAGCGGACTCTCTCGTTTTTCCTTAAAATAAAACGAGGCTGTCCGACACACCTCGTGTGACGGGAGCGCTGGCGAAGCCCGGCCGCAGCCAAGAGCGACCAGGGCAGAGCTGCAGGCAGCAGGCGCCATTACGCGACGCCAGGCTCGGTTTCAGGGCTGCCACCCAGCAGACCCGCTTCACTCACCTTTTCACTTGCAATTGAGCCACCTGCCAGGAGATGGCAGCATAAGGTAAGAGTCCGCTGC